GAGGGAGAGGTGAGCATCTGGAGGGATGACTCCAGCCTCTGAGATGAGGACCTGATCTGGGCAGACCCAGCTGCCCTCAGGAAACAGGTATCTCCAAAGGAGAAATGGATTGAGGTGTTGCTCCTTGCTTGGTGACACCTCAAGGAATCTTCGTGCGATCCATGCCCACCCCTTCACCCCCATCGCGTCCCGTCAGACTGACCACGTGGAAGGCCCGTGCATCAGACAGCGGTACCAGGCACATCACGAGGGCTCGGGAGCAGACCGACGCCAGCTCTCGCCCTCCGGTCGGTCATCCACGATGAATCCCTGGCAGCTGACACTCACCTAAGAGCAGGAACTTTCTGCTGTCCCCGTAGAGCTGCTTCAAGTTGATGCAGAATTCGTGGATCGAAGCCCCGTTGCGATACTCGTGCAGGAGCATTGCGAACTGCTGGATCTCTTGGGAAGAGAGTTTTGTTCGGAGCTGCGGAAGAGAAGCACACCACAACCGTCACTGACTTATTAGGAGGAAGAGCTGGTGGGAAGCCTGGGAACGGCGTTTACCAGATTTATTGCTAGTTGATGAGCGCTGCAGTAATGAACCAGCTCATCCCAACAGAAAAGCCGGACAGGCTGGTGCAACCCACTGCTGAGCCGGCAGCTTCCAAATGGGGACAAGCCGGGAGCGTACGCAGGGAGCGTGACTCATGAAGTGACGGGCCTGGAGTGCCGCCGATGGCGTGACAGGCTGTTACGTGGTGAGAGGGGACAAGGGGTGGGGATGGACATTGAGGTGCTGGAGCGTGTCCAGAGAAGGGCAACGGAGCTGGGGAAGGGTCTGGAGCACAGGGCTGGTGGGGAGCGGCTGAGGGAGCTGGGGGTGTTCAGCCTGGAGAAGAGGAGGCTGAGGGGAGACCTGATCGCTCTGCAGCTCCTGGCAGGAGGGGGCAGGGAGGGGGCGTCGGGCTCTTCTCCCCAGGAACCAGCGATAGGACGAGAGGAAATGGGCTCAAGCTGTGTCAGGGGAGGTTTAGCTTGGATATTGGGAGAAATTTCTTCACAGAAAGAG